CGATATTTTTCTTAGACTAAATGGTGAACTTCAGCTTTTTTTTTTTGTCTTCTGTTTTGCATACCTTCAAGGTGGCTTGGTTAAAATTGAGTTCTCATTAAGCAAAACTACATCATCTCAGATTAAACCTGAGACAATTTTATGTTAGACAGACATTTTAAAGTTCTATTAAAATAATTGCTCAGAATATTTTAAATACAGTGTACTCCTTGGCACTGTTTCCTAGACATTTACCTGTTAGAATTCAGGGTATAATGACATGCAAAGGGACAGCCAGTCTGTCCCACAGTCTTGATTCCAGATGTCTTTTTTTTTTTTTCCCTTTTATTTTTTATCATGTAGAATGGGTACTTTTGGAAATTCAGCACAATGGCTCTAAATGATGATCACAGTGAATGGAGAGGGGTAATTTTGTGGACATTGGACATGAGTTGGAGTTCTCAGTAACTTGGGGTGGTTTTTGCATACCTGCTGGTAGGTGTATTTACAGTGTCAAATGCCAGGTTGTATAATGCAGCACAACCCAAAGGTGAAGGGCAGCATGAAGAAGAGTGTCAGCCTTAAGGCTGGAAATCACTGATGATGAGTTGGCAGAGCCAACTGAAGTGAGCTGCTATCTTGCAAAGGCAGTTCAGAAACACAGTGAGTATGCCTTGGATTCTGTGTTGTGGTGCCTGCACAGCTTCCTGTACTTGGATAGCTTATTTAAAGCTAGTTATGTCTGTGCTATACAGAGGTTAGCAGTGCAGTTGTATCCTAATCTTGGTTGATTTAGCACCCTTTTATCCCCTGGAATTTGCAGTTGGCTGGATTTTCTACCTCTTAATCAGGTTGTGTAGATACATGAACCAAAAGAGTAAGAGGCTCTTTCCTATGACTGTAGAGATGACAGTAAATATAGGAAAAAAAATCCTTGCTAAGTAGCTTAGTAACTGTTTTAAGGGGTTTGGTTTTGTTCTTTCAATGACTGGTTGAAAGAAATGAAAGGCCTAAAGTATTTGGTATGTTGGTAGTGAAAATGCAGTGTACTGTAAACCAAATTCTGCTGTGCTGAATGATTCTGTCAGTACTTCAACCAGTAAATATGTGTTGGGGCAAGTCCTTAAGGGAAAAATCATTTATAGAAGTAACATGGATTCCACCAGGTGATCCAAGAGGAATCTTTCTAGATCATAATGCTTGTTGTGGCTTTGGTTACCTTTTGGTAATGGCCCAGGTTCTGGTGGACACTGGGTTAAGCTTGTCTTTAAACACAGAAGCAGTGGGGCTGGCTTAAGTGTGGCTGGAAGCCAGAAATGCTGTTAAAGGTTTAAATATGTTATGGCCTCTGTCTAAAAATCACAGTTGTGTTTTTCTTGATGACAGAATAGTTGTACCCAAGATTGCTCTAAACAAATGGAAGATTACCCCTCCTCCCCCTGCCTTTTTTTTTTATGGTCATACATTTGACCTCTGTTCTTGTTAAGCTCTCCTCAGTGTTCTTAAGTCTTCTGTCTCGATTGCTATATAAAAGATGGCTGCCATAAAACCAAAAATGCTGTAGGTGAGAAGGGTAGGGATGTTAATATCAGACATACTAATGGATAATGTAGCGTTTCAAGTGAAATCCAGGAGTCTTCCAAGAAACTTGAAGCCAAATTCATATTATTCATGTATAGTTTCCCCCTGAAGCTAATTAATGTTTTCAAATACAGCCATGTGAGATCATGTATTCCTTTTTTAAACAGTATCAGAAAAGATAATTAGTATTTTCATTTTGATATTAAAATCAGCCTGGATATTTTTTCCTGAATTTTGTTTATTTAATAATTGAAAATTTCCTATCCTGATCTCTATATGGCATGGGAACATGGAACAACCACTAGAGCCAGGAATGATAATGGAAAGATTAAAGTAAATGTCTCAGCAGAAAGCTGTGGGGAGAAGGCTCAGTGAAAAGCAGAATTTTCTCCAGAAAATTCTCCAGAAAGTGGCTCAGATGGAGAGAAAGAGTGGCTTTCCTCTATGGCTTGTCAGGAAGTCTGCTGTATAGAAGGTGAGGGTTTATGCAATATGCAGTGGTACATTAGTAGTGCTTTGTTGCCAGAGCTATGATTCTCCAGCCTGTGAGATGACAGCTGCCATATTTTTATCTGGAATTGCCAAGACAGAGCCCTGAAGACGTGTGCAGTGAAGTGCTTGTGCAGTAAGTTGTTAAATATAAATAGTTTGTGTGTACCCAGTAAGTCCAATGCTTACAGGAAGCATATGACTGATCCTACACAAAATATATGGGTTGTAGGTGGATGTGCAGCATATCCTTTGAATGCCTTCCAAAAGTGTCAGATCAAGACAGAGATACTCATTGGCTGTACACTGCATGTGCTTAGAAGAATGCTTCAGACTTGCTGTGCATACTTGTTGCAATTGATAGATGTGCGTATAGTACACGTGTCTGGGATGTCTTGGTGTACAGCAGCTTGTTTGGAGCAATGCTTGTAGCAATTCTGATGGAGCTGCTGTTCCTCTGGAAACAGAGGGCAAGTAAAATCTGGGAAACATGTTTGGGAAGACTCAGACATATGGCAGCCTTATGTTGGATTCTCTTCAGTTGTTTACAGCTGCAGGAAATAAAGAGTCAAAGAGGAGCCTGCTGGGTTATGATACTGCCAGTGGTGTGGCGTTTGCCTGCTGTTTTCAGGTTATGGGCCTGCAAAGAGGAAAGACTGTTGGTGTCGGAGAAAGGAATGGCCTTGGAGAATACACCTCAAAATTGCATGGGGAAGGGGAGAGAATGAACTAAAACCAGTAATTGCCGCAGCTGATGTATGTATTAATTCCCAAAATGCTCTTTTGTATCCCAGAAAGTGGACTCTAGATTTGTAGACTTTGGTAGCTGCTTTAAGGCCTTGGTTGTATAATCCTTCTTCTTCAGAACAGAGGCCTGGTGTTTAAAAGGGTATTAAAACCATACTGATGCTTCCAATGTCCTTGAAATAGGATTTTTAGCATTTTTATTTTTCTTAAAATAGGCCTCAGCTCCTGCTCCTTTTCTCCCAGCTCTCCAACAAAAACAGATCATAATGCAGCACAAAGGTCTGTGTATGAAGCAAGTTATACAAGTAGGACAGTAAAACCTCCTGCTGCTTGTTCAAAAAGATGTTCTCTCTGGTAATCCAAAGTGTTGGTTTCAAGGCCTCTTGTTGCTCAGACAGTAGGCTGAGAAAGTTGGGGCTGTTCAGCCTGGAGAAGAGAAGGCTGTGTGGAGACCTCATAGCAGCCTTCCAGTATCTGAAGGGGGCCTATAGGGATGCTGGGGAGAGACTCTTCATTAGGGACTGTATTGACAGGACAAGGGGTAATGGGTTAAAACTTAAACAGGGGAAGTTTAGATTGGATATAAGGAGGAAATTCTTTCCTGTCAGGGTGGTGAGGCACTGGAATAGGTTGCCCAGGGAGGTTGTGAATGCTCTATCTCTGGCAGTGTTCAAGACCAAGCAGGACGAAGCCTTGGGTGAGATGGTTTAGTGTGAGGTGTCCCTGCCCATGGCAGGGGAGTTGGAACTAGATGATCTTAAGGTCCTTTCCAACCCTAACCGCTCTATGATTCTATGTAGCACCATGGCATGTTGAGTACCAGTCCAGAGAACATGGCGGCTTTAATTCTGTGTTGTAGGAGAAGGGTGACAAACAGCTGGTTTGGGTGATTTAATTCTGTGGTGTAGGAGAAGGATGACAAACAGCTGGTTTGGGTAATGAGCGGAAGAGCACACCAGAGGCTCTCTCTGAATATAGGCATTCTTATGCATCACTTACTGTGTTTTTGTGGGTACAGTTTGATAACCACTGGTTGCAAGACTAACAAGAAGATGGGGGAGAAGATGGGTCTGCAGGAGTAGACAGTCAAGACTGCTCAGTAGCAACCAGAGGCAGGGGTTACACATCAGGCTTAGTTTACAGATCTGCTGTCTTGTGCTGGTTGAGTGTTGTATACATTAGTTTGAATTAGTTGTTGGCTCTGGATGGTAGTTTTACAGTGGTGATTCAGCATTGGTATTGTCTTTCCTTATAAAGCAAAACAGTTTGCTTACTGCTTCTTTCTTCAGAAATTCAGCTGTTATTGTAAATGATTGGAATTAGCTGTTTTCTAATGGTTGTTTTGAGTGCACACAGCCATTGAATTAGACTTTCTGCTACAAACCCAAGTAATTTCCTAATTATCACCTTAAAGGATTACCTTTAATGCTGCCTTCTGCAACTTCTCTTCTTAAATTTCTCCTTTTTTCATGTCTTCATCTTGGCCTTTTTTCAGTCTCCTCCAGCTGCCAGGCATCTGCTGATTGTCACATGAGCTGCTCTACTTGTGCTTGGACAGAAGAGAAAAAAGTCAAACTCCTCCTTCACAGTCATTCTTGTCTTGATTTCCATTTAAACTTTATTGTGGTTTAATTTCCTATTTCCATTCAGTAGCCCTCAACTACCACCCCTCCTCCCCCCCAGTCTATTTTATTTGTCCCTTTGTGGTTGTGGTGATTGGCCTCTGTTGCTTTCCTGTGCTGGGGAAGAAGACGGAAGGATGCAGTTAGCGAGAGGAGATGGCTTCTTGCAGGAGCCAAGGGAGGACCATCCTGCTCACTGCAGTGCTGTCAGATCTGGTATGGGGATAGACTCTTGCGTTTCAGCCAACATGGAACAACTGTGGTGTTTAGTTACTCATTAAAGCGATAAAGGCACAATATTTAGTAGACAGGATTAGATCAGTGTGTTTTACTGTGATGGGTGCATCTGTTTGGCTCTGTTTTCTGTCTGTTCTGGCTCATAAGCTGTTGAATGTAGTATTTTATATTGTTGAGACTAGCAGTTACAGTAGCATTTACTGCATGTTGCTGCAAGGGTTAATGAAATCGGTCTTCTAGTTTTCTTTTAAAATAGAGATGCTTCTCTTTTATGGGGATGTTATGTCTGTCTAGGGTAATGCTACTTAAACATACATAATGTATATATTTTGTTTGCAATTCTAGGAATGCTTTAAGGGAAGCTGGGCTACTCACAAGTTATTACACAAGAAAGCAAGTGAGTATATTTTAAAAATCCATTTTAATAATGTTTTGAATTTGTTTTTTCCTGTGCCGCCAGCTGTAGATGACCCTGCTTAAGCAGGGGGTATAGAGGACCTACAGAGGTCCCTTCCAACCTCAACTGTTCTGTGATTGTGTGTCTAAGAATGGTATGGGTGTTTCCAAGATATATGGCACTGGATTCCACATATCTGAAATTTTGTCCGGTTCCTGATACTCTTCAGGATCTATGTAAATTTTTGGACCTAGTGGTACAGATCTGTTTCCGTTCCCTTTTCTTTTTGTGTAAAGCATTCTTCAAGCTACATTGCTAGGTGTATCAACAAAGAAAGAGGGATGCTGAAATAAAGGGCAAGGAGAATAATAAACTGTTATTACAAGGCATTGCCAGGCTTGTGCCGTCGTAGCATTTTGATACCTAATGTAGTAAAAGGCAGTAAAGTGGGAAAGGTCTGTGTGAAGGCTTTGTGATAAGACACTTGGTGGGATGCAAGCAAGCCAGTCAGAGTGTAGCTGGTTGGTACGTTTGGGGTGGTGGACCCCTTTGGGAAAAAAAAGGAAGATGTTTTTGAGTACTGAAGCAGCCATTCATGGGAGGATGTATCATAGCTAGGATTTTGCTGAGTTTAGTTGAAGGCAATAAGAATATCTGTATGCCTTAGTTACAGCTAGTAGCTGTGGCACAGAAATACTAGTAGACTGGTGGATTCTCCCTTATCTGAGTAGTAAAAATAATCCATGAGTTTAAAACCAAACAATCGAACAGAGAAAGTCTTGCCTCCTCCCTGCTACTCCCCTGCCCATCTTCATCAATTCCTGCTTGAAAGGGAGGTGGGAATAAAAAGTAAGTGGCATGGCAGGAATTCAAATCCTCCAGTAATTTATATCCTCCTTTCCTAAAATCCAATAAAACTCCATTTTCCATGATAGATGTTGCATGGTTATTAGGTTGGAGTAGCACAGACAATTACAAATGTTTTCCTTCTGTCTGCCTTCCTAGCATAAGGGGTCACATAGTTCACATTTGCAGTCTGAATCCTGTTACTTTGTACCTGCATGGATATGAAACAGTGTTTGTTGTTAGTACTGGTAGTCCTGGGGTGCAGTCTTCTGCTGGTGTTTATCTGACAGCAATTTTTTCTACAGCTCCACTAAATCCGTGATCTTGTTAGCTTCCTGGGTAACTGTTGAGCCCAAGTTGAGCTGGCAAGACATCAGCGCAACAAACTGAAGCGTCTCAAGGGAATCCAAAATATTGCTTCATTAAAACTTTGGTTTTTAGAGTATCCTTTCTCAGTGGTTTATCTAAACTGAATGCCACGTGAGCAGATGCCACATGAGCAGACGGCTCAGCTGTCAGCCACAGAGGCTCTAAGGAACTCAAGTTAGGGCTTGCTATGGCAGACCTTTGCCATCTCTTAATTCTTATGAGATATAAACAGAGATGAGTTAACAATTAATGCTGCTGTGCTCTTTCTTAACCCTTGCCTCCTCTTTCCGAGTAAATATTTTTCCTTTCGGTAATGCTCATAAGCCACTTGCTTCAATCCTTTATGCAAACACCTTAAATCTACACCATTAGACTGTGTTATTTGTGGATGAATTCAGTCACTGGAGCACATTAGACATGAATTTCACAATGTTGAAAAAACTGGGAACTTCCAGCAGGTTGGGACCATCTTGGAATGTGCACACACTGCCTGTCCTGAAATGCAGAAGTGACAGCACTCGCACTCTCTCCATCAGATCTGGAGGAGCTGTGGGTGCCATGTGTTGAAACTAATAGTTGGATACTGTTAAGCCTTCTCATCCAGGTCATTTCTGTCACTGAATGCTAAGAAGAATTACAGAAAAGGAAGATTAATTTACAGTGCAAGAATTTTAATTGAAGGGATGATTCTTTCTGTAGAAATATGCTTTCTCCCCAAGAATTAAAACATGCACAGAACTAGGTTTTAGAACTATATATTAAGAGCAGCTTAAATAATTACTACATTTTATTTGTGCATTCAGCACTGCTGTCCTGACATTCCCCAGTTTGCTATTGAATAGAGCTGGCAGGATGTGAATTTTGAATGTGAAAAACTTAAGGGCAATACAAAATGAGGACTGCTACTTACACTTTTATATATCAATATCTAAAACACCAGCAAGAGTCAGATCTGGACTGATGTACTTCTGAGTCACTTTCTGGACCCTGCAGTTCTTATTCTCAGTAGGACTGATTTTGCTGCTGCCTTTTTTTTTTGTCTTTTCAGAAGATGAAAAGGCGAAGCGTGAAGTTTCCTCGTGGACCCTGGAAGGTGATGTTAACACAAATCCCTGGTCTGGTTATCGATACACTGGTAAACTCAGGCCACATTATCCACTGGTAAGCAACAGGTGCCACTGTACTCAATTGCTGCTACGTTCTGTAGCAACTAATGGACCAGTCCTGACTTACTACTTCACATTTTAGATGAGAAAGGAAAGCTTCTTAAGCAATCTCAACCTGATGGCAAGGACATGTATGACTCTGTCCATATTTTTTTGTGGTTCATTTTAATTTAACTTATCTGTATCTTGGTATATTTAAAATTAGTGCATGTGAGGTGACATCCATCAGTAACAGGCTTAAGCTCATGCCTTTTGGCTGTATGTTTTGACATGTGTTCTGCTGCTAGTTGAGATGATGTCTCCTAGCTCTTTACTGTTCGCACCAATAATGGAGCAGTCTGTTTTGGAAAAACTCAAATGAATTAATTTTGAATTAAAAAAGGTTTATTTTATGTAAATGGTTTGAAATAATCTGGTGAATGAGCTGGTGAACAGCTTTGCTGAAGGAACAGAGGTTTTGGTGACCTCCAGCACTGGAATAGTGAAGAGTAACTGAGATAGTAACATTCTGAGCTGTGAAAATTAGATTTAGAACACAATCTCAGTATAGCTGTATTTTTAAATTGGTATAAATTTATACATGGAATGAGCCAAAGTTTTTACCCAAATAATGGCATTTCATTTACATTTGTCTTTTCTAATTGTCCTGTGGTAGAAATGCTGCCCCTGTGGCATCTTCTCTATAGTCTTCCCCATCTGTCACAGGCTCTAGAGAACAGATTAACAGAGCCTGAGCCCATGTATGTTTGTTAGTGTAATTGAAGAAAGGGTGTTTTGTCTCTGTCACCAGCTAAGTAATTTAGTAGTGTTACCGCTTTTTTGTCTTCTGACTGCTGTAGGATTATTGAGGCAAGTGAAACTATAATAAGAAGTGCTAATGACTAGGGTGATGAGTAGGAGTAGCAATTTTGCTAATAGACATTAATAACCATAGAGAGGAAGGATGCCTTTGGAACCAGTGCGTTTGCCATCTGGAAAATAGCAGAATAAACACCACAGTGTAACAGGATAATACGGTATAAAACCAATTTCATTTACTTGACACACAAAAGTTTAATCTTTCCAAAGCTGTGATGTTGGCTGTTAGAAGATGTATAATATGAGAGCAGTAGAGAGTAACAGGAGAATCTTTAAGAAAAAAAAAATTTGATGCGTTTTGGAGTGTTTTTATACTTCACTTTTTTTAGTGTAATTAGCCATATTTCACTCTATTTAATTTTGCTGGATGAGTCTCTGTTTTTGTGACTATAATAAGTATTCATGCAACCTAACCAGCTTTGATCATGATTTATCTAGACGCCAACGAGACCTGTGCCAAGTTATATTCAGAGACCGGATTATGCTGATCACCCACTAGGTAACTTAAAGCAAATCACAATTATGGAGTATCATTGTTTGCTTTCTATTTTTCTTTTAATTGAAAAGCCTTTAAAGCATGAAGAAGACACAGGAGAAGGGAACCTTTTATCTGTTCTTCTCAAAGTAGCTAAGAAAGAAAAAACGTTTCTATGAATAGAATAATTTCCTTGTAAGTCTGATTTTCAAGGTTGTGTTATGACTAACTAGAGACGATGGTTTTATGCAGTAAGTGAACAGGTATCCTAGCACATGCGGTCATTACGATGTTGTGGAAGGCTTATGAATTCAAATTAATATGGATAATGATGATAATGCTTTGACTTAGTGTTCTTTAGGGTTCATTACTTTAGTCTGTAGTGAGAATGTATGTACTTTTATGCCATTGGTAAGCCAAGTAAGTTCCTTGATTGGACATGTGTAGCAGTCACTCTTCCATATAATGTGGTTTATTTATTTCTTTTTCTCCTCTGCCTTTTTTCTTTTCAGGAATGTCTGAATCAGAACAGGCTTTAAAAGGAACCTCTCAAATAAAAATACTCACATCTGAGGATATAGAAGGGATGCGAGTAGTGTGTAGGGTAAGGGGGCTTTGGTTTTCATGGTGAAGTGCCTTTATTTGTCAGAAATCCATAGTGATTTTACCAGTTTGTGACAGCACATGTGACCCTACAAATGTTTAAAGCACTTTTCAGCACTGAAAAATAATTTGAGAAAATAGGTATTTCTTGGTTTTTTTTTCTCCTTGTGACTCCCAATTCACAATAAACTGTTTTGCAAGAGAAAATATAACATTTATTTATTTTGTTACTAAGTGAGATGTGTGGCTGAAATGTTGTTTCTGCTAAGAATATATTGTATCGTGCATAAATGAGAACAGAACTTCTTCAAGAGTTACTACTAACTAAAAACTAAAAGGCAAAACAGAGTCTTATCATTAACAATTATTGAAGAAAAGCTGTTCAATTGTAATCACTTTCTTGTGCATAAAGTCAAACATTGAAATGTATTCAGGTAGTCTGAGTTAAGATTATGGTATCCTAGGTAATTGTGGTCTAAATTTTAATCAGAGAATTTTCAAATCTCACAGATGTGGCTTAGTAATATAACCCATAAACCCTGAAAGTCTTTGTAGAGCCCAAGCGTGCCCAGCTTTCCTAGCATTCTTGGTGGTGGTGTAGAAAACTAATAAGTTAATTGTCTAGGAAGTAGTCTTGGTCTTATTTTAAATTGGTCCTTTTGTTTTGTTTGCAGCTTGCTAGAGAAGTATTGGATGTTGCTGCCATGATGGTGAAAGCAGGAGTAACTACTGAAGAAATTGATCATGCTGTCCATTTAGTAAGATCATTTTATTGTTCTTCCAGCATTTATAAGTGCTTTCTTTTCTCTCTTTTTGTGTTGGTATTGCATGGTTTTCTTTGTAGTTGCATGAATTACCTTTTTTAAACTGTTTCCCAATTTGGAGTATGGACATTAGAAATGTGTAGGTTCAAAATGAGTTAGGAGCTCCTGGATGCCTCTCTGTATCAGCTCCTTCTGTGATTTTCAGCTTCAGGTTCTCTCTGCTTCCTCACCTGTTTTCTTGGTTAACATTATGTAATTTTCTTTTTTCTAAATGTTTTTGCTCCAAAGATACCATTGTATAAAGAACATCATATGTAGGCCATGAATGTTTTGTCCTCTGTGGTGCTGGGTAAGACGTAAAGAGGAGAAAGGTTAATTATTTATGACTAGGAATCAGAAGTGAGGAGCCTCAGAGAGAATTGAAACAAGATGTTTGATGCAATCACGCAAACTAAAGCCCAATCCAGTGAAATATTTGAAATGAAATATATTCAACTATTTTCCTCTCTGAACTATTCATAGATACTTGAATTGAGTAATTTTTATTTCTCTTGGCTGTCTTCTCTGTGCAGGGTGTCAGCTGATAATTGGGGATACTTGTGTGCACTGTGGGGAAGGCAGTGATTATAGATAAGTTTGTTAGAGAGCTTTCTGCTTGCTGATCTTTTTAGAACAGAAATGCAGATAAGCATTTGCAGCTGCTGAGCCAAGATTATAAAGAACTTACTCTGGTTTGATTGGGCCACAGTTTTTGGCTGAACTGCATTAAACACTAAACTATTTACTTACACATAATGTGTAATGTGGGCAACTAGTAGTTTAAATGGTGTTACCCCTCAGCAATTTTTGGAAACCTTTGCGTGGCAGATGGCTGACAATGACCAATCTCTTCAACTGGTAATTTACAGTCTTAAAATGTTATTCTTTTTTTTTAAATGAAAAAAGTTGACAAAGTATTCCAGAACTGCTCGGTATGTCTCAGTGTGTAGATGTATGTATATAGAAGTACGTATAAAATGTATGCATCAGTTTTGCAAACATCCCCAAAAGGTTATCAGAGGGAGTGCAAAAAATGCAGCTTAAGGTCTCAAAGCTAGGGGTGAAAGAGTGATGCTAAATGTCTCTTTGTCTAACTTGTGTGTTCTGCAAAGGTACTTAGACCACGTGCTTAAAAGTCATTGAAAATTATTCAGTTTTTTAGCTGGATAAGTATTTTGTGCATTATTTTAGACCTGAATATTTTAGCATTTGTAGTTGAACATAAAAATGAGTAGAAACAAAATTAAACTCTTTACTGTCTTCCTGGTAAGAAATGCAAAGCATAACAAAATAGTGTGATGTTAAAAAAATGCTTGAAGAATCTTCTTTTCCAAGGGTCACTGCATTTTAACTTGTCATTCTTACTGTAAAGCCGTTGTGCATCTGTTTGTACATAACTGACTAATGTAAAGTGTAAATTGTATTTTCTAAATTAGGCTTGTATCGCAAGGAATTGCTATCCTTCCCCTCTGAATTATTATAATTTCCCAAAGTCGTGTTGTACGTCAGTGAACGAAGTGATCTGTCATGGAATTCCTGACAGGAGGCCATTGCAGGAGGGAGATATAGTTAATGGTAAGTGCTGTGAAAATTAACCTTCACCATTTCTACCTTTTATTCAGTTAAACCGTGCAGTAAGATGAGGTTTCACTACCAGAGGCTTTTGTTCTCATTTACAAATTAACCTCTGTTCTTCATATATTTAAATCAATGATTTTAATAAAATAATTTAAAAAGCTTGGTTCATTTTAAGAGCTTTATAACACTTCTACCCTGATCTGTGCATTAGTATACTACCCGAGTATTCCACTTGTGGGCTAGGCTCCAGTTGTTCCAGACTGCATAAATAGTGAATAAAATTTATATTGAATTATTGAACGGGATCAGTTCTGCATGAATTCTTGATTAGATGGCTCTAGATCCTTAGATTTTGCTACAGACATGATGACTATCATGACTGTAAGGATCCTAATGGTGAGGTGTTGTATAGGTTCATATTAAAAACATACACTTTTCTTGAGCATTTTGTACCAGCTGCATTTTGTTCATGGTACTCAAGGTACTTACACCTTCTTGGGTGATAAGGAATACTTAAATTACCATTTTTTGTTTCCACATTTTTTCTTTGCTTGTCATTAAAAACTAATGACATTGGTTTTGTAGAAACATTTGCGGCTTTTTTTATTGCATTGGTTTGCTTTTCTCTTATGTGTAAATAAATACCCAGTGTATTCTAAGGTTTGGCCTATCTCTAGGAGCAGGTTGGAATTCTTTTAGATTGTCAGATATTGGGTGTGTATTGACATGCAATAAGAGCTATTAAGTCTCTACAGAATGAGTCTCACGATTGCTGCCCATTTCTATGTCAGGTTGATAGCTCTGAGCTGTAGTGTTCATGTAACCATTTGGGCAAGGCTTCTTTATCTTTTTTTTAATTTCAAAGATGGTGCCTTTGCACAGCTCTGTTGCCAATTTTTCTGGCATTGCTGGCTGCCTGAGAAGCCTAGCTGAGTTTACTAGGTTGGCTTCATCTATATGGTGACTTACCTCTCCACTATTTGCATGCCACGGCTGTATATAATGCCTTTTATAAGAGGGATACCATTGTATCACATCATTGTTCACATCTGTTGTTCAACATACCATTGTTCACATCCCTGCCTTGACTGCATTTGCCCAAGCTTTGAGCCTTCTGCTTTCTTTTGATGAAGAGCAACTAGCTTACTCTTTTGTAGCTGAGTAGGTCTTGTTGCAAAATGGTCCACATCTTATGGGTAGAACATCCCCTCCCCATGGGCTCAAAAGGCTTCCAAGTCTTGTAGGTTTCTTTTTGTAAGAAAGTGGCTCAAAAGCCAGTTTACAATAAGGAATAAAATGGGGTTCAGTGGAGATAGAAAAAGTACTTTAGAGGGAATGTGCCCAGTGAACAATAGAGGGAAGTGCCCATATTTCTCTTTACTTAAAACTTTTTTTTGCCTGTTGGAAGCAAAACGTGGCCATGTCAGAGTCTAAACCAGGTTTTTGCATCACAGGAAAATGTCATCCAGAAGGTGCTGGCAGGTGATGTCTAGTCCAACACCCTGCTCTGAGCAGGCATCATATCATTTAATCATCTTGTTCCCTGGGAGCAGATTCTTAAACAAAGCTCATATACCTACAAGTGAGTGAGATGTTCTGGCCTAATCTGGTAATGTCAAGAGGAAGTCTTGTAATCACATGTCCTGTTGAGACGGCCTCTTTGCAGCAAGTATTCTGGACACTGTGTGAAGGAGCTCTGATAGACAGTTCACAAGAAACTTGCTTGGATAAGTTACCAGGGTCCTGTTGTTAGTTACTAGGTAGTATTCCAGTAGTCCTGCACAATTCTGCAGTGAGTATAGTGTAACCCTGTATGTGCACGTATCCACAGCAGGCAGGATTGGTTTTGTGCAGTGTTAATTTCATTCTTAAACGTTTGCCAGCAGTACAGATTTATTGCTGACACCAATGGTTTTCCCTCACATTTTCCTGTCAAGGCTGTACTGGTCTCTCTAAGGGGCTCATGCAACATATTCCTAAAGTGTTATTGCCCAGTACAGTTTCCTTCATGGCTATGTACCAGTGAGGGCTAGTGGTTTTGGTACAGCTGTTAGACCTATCAGGCTACTGCCAAAAGCCTGATAAACACAGAAATACCCATTCTACCACAGGAAGTCAACTCGATATGCAAATCTAGAATATTTTGCTTGTGTTTGCTGTATATGATGACTAATTTTTCACTTGTCTGCTATAAAAGACAGGATACTAAAATAGTTGTCAGCAGTTTCTAAACTGGTAAGCCTGTTCCCATGTTTTGTAAAAGGACTATTTGCAGCGAGCATCTTGTATGGATGTTCTTAACCAAAAAAGCCTATCTTTTTTTGCAATGAGTTAAACTAAAAAAGTTTTTTTTTCCTCATTGAAATTACTTATGCTGCTATTTTTCAAGACTGACTTATATCACTTTGAGTTTACAATCAACATTATACATAAAGCAAATGAGTTTTGCTGCAACATAATTCTAAACTCTTACTATATGTTCTTCTAAACCTTGGTTATTTAAGCATACCCTTCTCATTCTTGCTGTTTGCCTGATACCACATGCTTAAATTATTTCATTTGAAAGAAGAAAAGAAAAAGTTCTAAGTAATTTAGTATATTTTTTGTAGTCAAGAATATTACTGGAAAAGTTGCTGTGTATTCAGTGTTGAAGAAATGTTACCTTCTTGGCTGGAAGCAGTGGGTTTTAGCATTACAGTTTTTGCAAAGGTGTAACTACTCTAAACATGCATGGAAGCTTTTTCACAAATGAAGAGACGAAGTGAGAAATACAGTGCTAATATTACAGTATTTCTGGTATTCCTTGCAGTGGATATTACTGTCTATCGTAATGGCTACCATGGAGATCTGAACGAGACATTTTATGTTGGAGAAGTTGATGAGGGTGCAAGGAGGCTTGTCCAAACAACTTACGAGTGCCTAATGCAGGCCATTGATGCAGGTAAACCCTTTGACTGGGGCCTGAAGCATTTTGGTTTCAATTCTCAACCATGAATGCTCCTGTTTGCTACTATGGGGAGTGACTTCTGTTGTAGGACACAGAAGTGTTAGTGTGTGTCACCAGCAAATGATGTATAATACCGTGATTCTTCAAATGGCACAGTTCTGTGGGTAGTGTTGCAACTTTTACTTGTAATGTGGGTTGACAAGGAAAATGTAACTGATGTTCAGCTGATCCACATATGATGATACTTAAATGGAAACAGCCGTTTTAGACTGTTAGATGAATAAAACATCCTCAAAACAAGTTGTTTAGAGAACGTGAAGAACAAAGTGTGTTTGGAAAATCAAAGTATGGTTTCCTACTTTGGTAATGTGAACAATGTTGCACAATGAGCCTATTAGGCAAAAAAACTCTGAACATTTAAGCATATCTCTGTCCCTTCCAAACCTAATGATTATTTCATAAAGCTAATTACGAGCTTTTCATTTTCATCTTTATGCAAGAAAAGACAGATCTATATCCTTCAGTACCCACAGAACTTCAATTATGTTGCTTAGATATGTCAGGATAGCTTCACTGAGACATACCATGAGATAGAAAGAATGTCATGGTCAGCTCCATTCACAAAGGAATATACTACGTTCTCTTAGACAAATGGAGAAAAGAAACCAGAAATCTCCCAAGTGCCTGCAAATATTTGTATTATCTGTTTGGTTTTTTTTTATACCCTGCAGGTTTTTAAAATCCCCAGTAAAATTCACTCACTTCAAGGCCTTTGAAGACTGAAGTTTAAGGTGCTAGATCTGAAGTCTTTAAACTTGCACTTAATCAAAAGTAAATGAAAAAAAACCAAACTATAGTAGCTTACTTTGGTTAATAATTTGGAGATGGCTAGCCAAGCTGAGAAGACAAATCCATGTGAATGATGCCTTGCGTATCCATTGTGTGATCAAGAAAGTACTGCAGAGTTCAGCTGTGAAGAACATAAATTACCTGTTTATGTGGGATTACTGTTCTAAAACAGCCACTTTGTTTCTCAGAGCTAAATCAGAATGTTTATCTTTACTCCTATACTTTATTTTTATAGCAAATGTTACATCTGTCATCTTTCATATCCTGATGTATAAACTAGGACAGAAATCAACCTTCATGTTAATTATAATAAGATTTAAACTCTTAGTGTAACTTCACCAGCTTTCTAGATGCTGTAACAGGTTCTAATGGGGTTAGACATTCCCTGTTAGTAGGAATTCTGGTAGCAAACGTCCTGGCTGTTAAAAAGGGTTGCCTCTCCCCTGTTTAAATCCTCTTAATTTCTTGGCACTGTACCAGCAGAACTCTCACTTAGGAGAGTTTTATGAGAGAGAAGCAGAGGGCTCCTTGCTGCTTTGAGATGAGTTGCTTGATATTGTCAGGCCTGAAGAAGATGGTGCTTCACAACTAGTAGCATAAAAACAACAGACTGACGTTTCCTTTCTCACCATGTCTTTTTATTTTTTAAATTATTCTGGGAAAAGCATGCACATTCTAGTAATCTAAATTTCTTTATTTTCTGTAAATTCAACTTACAGATTTAAGTTGTAGTTGTTTAAGTTGGCAGAGAATTTTACTAAGTGGCTTTGTTCTTACAGAGTTTTAGCTTTGTATGTGAACTCTGCTTAAGATGCTCCACATAACCACACTACATCTGGCTCCTGAAGGAGCAGCATGTATTCAGGGAGTTGTGAATGATCTTGAAATAGCATTTACATTCTTTATTTTTTAGTGCCTCAAGGTTGCTTTTGGTATGCATCTTCATTGGCTGATGGAGGAGGCATTGTTGCTTTTATGGCATTATTACTCCCTTGTCCAAGTGCTCAAAGTGATTTCTTTCACACAGTTCTCATTTGTTTCAAACTCTTTTAATCTTTAAGGCTTCCTAAAAGTTAGCCCTGCGTATGAATGTTCTGATTTGCTGCAATGTTGCCACTAAAAATCTTGCAGAGATACCCATTTTGGTTTTTCCCCTTCTTGGTCCTTCACGTATAATCATTTTTCCTCTTGATCTGTGTACACTTTTCACATAGTAGTAGAGAGATAAGTGTGTACTGAAATAGAGTTCATGCATTCATTGAACAAAGCACTGCAACTGTTAGTATGAGAAGTTACCAAGTACTTGCATAGAATCATAGAACAGTTTGGGTTGGAAGGGGCTTTCAAAGGTCATCTAGCCCAAACCCCCTGCAATGAGCAGGGACTTTGAAAGCCTTTCATTGTCTTTAGTTTCAAACTTCAGTGTCCTTTTAATATATGAGCACTTACATCCACAAAAGGAAGAAAGTAGTGTTCTTGTGAAAGAATTTTCTTATTCTCTCATTTTCTCTTTTACATGAGACACTTTCCTCCCTCTCCCACGTTACTGCACTCACTTTTGTACTTGGTGGATTAAGTGATGATAGGAAGTTGCATTCTAGAACAGATGGCCACACAAGCTGTGAGCACTACAGAGATACTAGCCTGCATGGTGTTTGGTTAGTTAAGTTGAAAGCAAGCTCTATAAATTTGCATCTCTCTCTTTAATTTTGCAGTGAAACCTGGTGTTCGGTACAGAGAACTAGGAAACATTATTCAGAAACATGCTCAAGCAAATGGATTTTCAGTGGTTCGGAGCTACTGTGGGCATGGAATCCATAAACTTTTCCATACGGCTCCTAACGTGCCACATTATGCCAGTGAGTATTCATTCCCTTTGAGTTGTCCTGTAGACAAGAAGTGGTTTGCATTGAATGCCCCCAATTTACTTTTTTCTTTTATTCAAACGAAGTAGCATGTTACCTTGCAGCCATTAAGGTAGCATTTCTGAATTCATGAAATAAGTTTTTCTGAACTCCATACCATTGCATGCTTTATGAACCTAAATATGGTGAATTTATCATATATTTAGACAGTTGTGCCTACACTAATGGATAGTGTTGGCTCTCATCTGTATTGAGTAAGTACTCAATGTTTTTGCCTGAATTCTCAGCTAATCCCTTAAACATCCTTGTCTGACATGAATGGGGAAATGTTTCTATCCTTAGAAGGCCTATAATGCCATTTCCAGATGTAAGTAAAAGCTTTTTGAAAGTGGCTGAAAACTTTCTTCAGTCAAACTACACTTCTAGAGATGTGCTCTGCATCAGTTCCTGTGCTTCCACATAAATATTTTTGGTGTATATCACATTGGAAATTTCTGGTGTTACTGTCCTGGATGCCTTGGAATTCTCTGCCTTTTTATGTTTGCTAAAGACATGCAGTATTTTCACTCTAACACTGCAATGACCCCATTAGGCAGAGTAACAGTGGGGCAGCGAATCTTTCATAAATGGCATCGTAGGATTACTTAACCACGATCATATTTGGACAATTTGAGTTAATGGTTCAGTGGAAACAAATTAAGAGGTTTCAAACCTTCTCTGGATATCTTAAGTGCTTCTTATTTGTATTGATTTTTTTTTAATGACGATTTTCATATGGAAGTCTGCAGAAATTCCTGTATTGCAGTTGTTCAGTGTTTTCATAGAACTGGAGTTGAACTTCAGTTATTGGAGAGAAAGACAGCAATTCATTTTAAACTCCTTGAGTAAGTACTGTGGTATTGGAGGAGGGGGAGAAGGAAAATACTCAGTGAGACCTTAATGTAGAATTAAAAATGGACAAGTGAGCGGGTCATCTCTGAGGAGCTTTTCTGAATTCACAGTATTCCTGCTGTATTATTCTAGGACAAGGATTCATTCATTTACTAAGATGGGATCACTTTTTCTAATGCGAGTATTTTTATTTTTTTTTCCAGAAAATAAGGCCGTTGGAGTCATGAAGCCAGGTCATGTATTTACAATTGAGCCAATGATCTGTGAAGGTGAGCAATTTAGCAGTACAGTAAATTGGTTACTGTTATTTACCATTCAGTAGTGACGGGATAGGATGCTGGTTCTATTCAGTACAGTTGATAGGTTTTTCGTTTCTCTTTGGGGAACTGTGCCTGTTACTTAAAACCAGTCGAAAAGTCATGCTTTATGTTTTCAGGTGGTTGGCAAGATGAGACATGGCCTGATGGCTGGACTGCAGTGACAAGGGATGGAAAGCGCTCCGCCCAGTTTGAACACACACTCCTGGTCACCGATACAGGCTGTGAGATCCTGACACGGCGGCTGGATAGTATTTGTCCCCATTTCATGTCCCAGTGAGAGTTTAGACTGAGCAGGTGGAGCTGAATGATCCTTTTTTTCTTTATTTTTGTGTCCCTGTACTATGCATTTTTTTAAGAGTACAGAATAGAGATTTCAGCATTTACTTTGTTCTCAGTGATTAAGATAAGAGGAATATCTTGAAGAACCTGAGGAAAGCAGAGAAGAATTTAAGGAATTTCCTGCTTTACCTACAACACTCATGCTGTATTTTTCTTTTTATTTCAATTATCTGTTTAGCACCTTTCTTCCAATTAGACCCACAATTGCTTCTGTTACTGCCATGATATTAGCTAGAAAAGCGTGGGTAACCTTTCCCACTGGGACTTGATATTTTGGGATCCAGGTTTTTTCACCACTTCAGTGTGCCCTGTCACTCTTGGGATGTGAGTGCCACCTGAGATTTTAAGCATTTCTAGTTCCAAAGACTTGCTCCTGCTTCTGGAGGTACTGTTCTAATGGGCTGGACTTTGTTTATCACTTGAGAAAGGGGCAGAAGGGAAAGACACATGCATGTTGCCAAGAATAGGCTACCCTTCTGTTCCCATCTCCCTTGTGATGGCCTCTGTGGTGACTGCAACTTAGGTGACACAGTTAATGGCAGGACTTGTTTCTCTTTCTGGAGAGTTGATAGTATGGGCTTTCTACAGGGAAAAATAATAAATTCTGTCTTATCTGCAGCTCCCTGGAATAAGCTGCTTCTTGGCAAAGCAGTATTTCCAGGCAGTCTCCCGCTCCAAAAGCTCAGTGAAGCTGATGTGTCAGACTTGCCTAGGTAAAGGAATGAAACAAGTACCAAAAAGATCCCAAGATTCTTGGGATCCCCAAGCGTGTGAACTGTGGGACATATTTTTTAAAGGTACCTCCACAGAGCTGTGGGGGATACGATTTGCAAGACTTGCAATGAAAAGAGTACATGCGTATCTCAAAACAAGTCTGTGAGCAAATGAAACACCTTTGATGCTGTATTCATTTTCATTTGGTAATTCCTAAACAGGTCATGTTTTTCCCTCCCTCAGTTAAGTGAGTTTCATGCTTCTGGGAATGCTTAGGGGGCAGCTATGGAAATGATCTTTTTTTTTTTTTCTCAGATTGGGTATAGAGTGGGCAATGTTAGTATATATATATCCCTTTATTTTCTGTTCATAGGTAATGATGAGCTGGAAACTGTCATGTTAAAGGCTATGGATTGATTAAGCCTCTCTTCTCTCTACCCTTTCTTTTCCCATACCCACTTTACCCACTTAGGTCCTTTCCACCATCTTTGGTGTCTCAGCTGAGGGAATTTATTTTTTCTTCTGAATTGTAATGAAAAATGTTTCAGACCCCACTGCAGACTTAGTCTTACACCACTGTAATGCAAGAAATAGTTAAACCAATGCAGACATTAAATCACACAATCATGGGCATAAAATACACCTTTTATATGGTGTCTGATGAATTTGTTGCCACATTAGACCCAAGAATATGAGGTACTGCATACCATACCCTTGGCTCCCCTTAGCACTGCAGAATTTAGGTGGGGGAAAGGGGTTAGTGCTTCATAGAACTGGACTCGTGTACTACCAAATACCAAACTTGCCAGAAAATGTCTTCTCTGCCCTGAGTGCCTCAGACCTCTGTTGCTGTAAGAGCATCATTGCAATGTTTTCATTACCTTTATTGTTATTTTTAATTATGCAGTAAAGTGACCTGAACTGATGCATAAGGAGTGCATGTGTGTGCGTGTGTGTGTGTGTACAGATTTTAACAGAACAGATTGTAGTACTTGAGTTGAATTACCTGTGTTGAATGAGATGTAATGTATTGAGGAGATGATTGTTCTGAAGGTTTGCCCACCATATCATTCAATTGAATGGTTACAATGGTCTTGCCTTTTCTATGTGTGTGTATGATGGGGGGGGGGAGGAGGGGGGGCTTCACTTTTGGTCTATAAAATAAAAGTTGCAGCTGCTTTTAACAGAAATAACTTCTTGTGATCCAACCCAGATGTGACATTCTTGGTTATATCCAGGTTTGATTGCACTAGTGCAAGCCGTAATGGTATATGCATGCAGCCAGTCAAAAATCTCCCTTAAACGAGCACGTGTGCCACTGGAATACCTCTTTGTCATTGTACCAATACAACCAAATTTAACACTGCACGTTTTTAATATAGGTAAACTCTGAGGCTGTGCATTTCTGCCTATAAACTGAAAGAATAGTGTGAGAATTATTTATACTGAGTTCATACTAGTACACAGTATTTTTAAACAAGTAGAAAGCTTAGTCAGCATCTACACTAGGTTTTTCAACAGATGGCACATCAGCCTGGAGAACAAAACTTGCTTTAAAATATTGTGAAAGTCTATTTTCTCACCTATCTAGCTGAAACTTTGCTTGGAAATACTAGATTTGTACTGACTGCATTTGGGAAATTACCTGGTTTTGATTCTTACAAAAGTTGCTATTCACTTAAAAAAACAAAAACCCCAGCTTAAATCTATTTTCTAATGAAATTTTTATAAATTGTATACACTTTTGCAAGAAAACCAACCGCATTCCTGCAATTAGTTCTGAAGCAATCTCTTAATATATTCCCCTTACTATCATGTAAGAGTGTATGGAAACTCTTCATGCTGCTTATGCAAGTTGACATAAATATTAGAGGAGAGATTTGATAGCCGATTTTGAATAAAAGTAACAGGATGAAGAGAGGGAACAAGCTGCATCTTCTGTGTGTCAGCTAGCAGAGTACATACACGTTTCACATAATCATTTGGTGGAAACATTTTGTCCACTGAAGTCTTTACAGATGGTGCGGTTCAGTCCCCTAATCACCAAGGATGGGGTACAAGCTCTTGAGTTTGAGTCCTGTTGCTAGCTCGGCAACTTCAAAGAGACTATTTGAAACATGCTCCATTGAATCAATTACTTTGCAGGACAAAGTAGTCTGAAAGCTGCTATGTAACAGCTAGGCCATCAGTTCTTCAGACTGGGAAGAACCTGTAGGTCTTTCAGTGCTCTAGTATCACTAAATGTCTTTTGCTGTTACTTTGGTATGACAAGACTAGCTTTCCACTCTTAAGATGCAGATTCTCTAAGTAATAATGTAATGCAGACAACATGATTATATGTTCTTGATCTAGTCTGCACAGCCTCGAGGAACAACTGTTACAGCATAAATACTTTCAATCTGTTAGATCCAGTTGGGGCTAGTTTTGTTAAGATGTTGAGCTAATATTCTGTTGATACCATCTTATAGAATACTCTCAGTGGAACAGCTTGACAGCAAGTTTCTACTAATCTGTCTAATGTTTAGCCAGCATTTCTGAGCTATAAGGTACTGCCACTTCACTGCTGTGGTGGAAGGCTCATATTCCTGGTGCAAACTCACTTTTTATTTCTTCTGGTTGCTCAAAATTGAGTTATTATGGCATTCCCAGGAGTCAATGCTGTTGTTTACCCTGCCTGAAATGAAGTTAGAAAAGCAGCTCCCTCAACTATTTTTAGAATGCTCTAGGGATACCTTGCTAATGACAAATGGGAAAAATGTAATTGTCCCAGTTGTACAGCAGTGACTTGAGTAAGGTAGTTGTTAGTGTTGAGAGGGAATTTCGTCTAGTAAGACCTCCGTTTGCATTCAGGGTTTCCTGGAAGAGTTGTTTTGACAAGGCTCCCTGAAAATATGAAACTTCTCTCTTAAGCAGTGTCCTTGGGTCATTGAAAAGCACTGACATTTGCTGTTACAACTTCAAGTGGGTAGCCTTTCTGCCTCTGCAGTCTGTTTTCTGCTATTCCTCTGTGTTTTTAAGGAAGTTTTATCTGGTTAGATCACTTCAACTATAGTTAAGGAGAAAATCTGCAACTCCAACATTAAGATTTAAGCCTTCCTCCTCCAAAAAAAAAACAACCAAATTAATTCTACAAACCCCTGAAGCCTTTATGAAACGATGCTCTTCACTGTTGTTCCCCTGCATCCGTCAAGAGCAGACTGTTGCTCTAATAGTAACATTCCATGCTTGACTAAATAGAGGTAACAATCCCACACTATTTATCAGTGTTGGCTGCAAAGGCTGCTTCAACTGTGCCAGTACATTTAAGGAAATGGCAAAACTGCCACTGAATGAAGTCTTAGAGGACACCACTAAGGCAAGTGACTAGAGTAGTCTGGGCCATCACCTTTACAACAGGCCTACCTACAGGTACTGTAATAAGGCAGAACAGGGACTTCCCAAGTGAACCTGGGTACAGCTGGACACTTAGGTCATACATCCAACCACATTCTGCTGTACAGCTGGCTTCAAGGTAGAGCTGGGTGGAACATCGCTGGGAGTCCTAGAGCAGCCTCAGAAGCCTGACAACTGTCAGGAGTTCTTGCCACTCTCTCAGTACAGTTTCAGCACATCAGTGCTGCTTCTCAACCCAGCTGTGATTAGCAGACTGCCTAGAGTAATGAATCACATATCATTTCCTACTGATGCTGAAGAATGCTCTGTCATGTACACACTGTAAAGTCATTAGAGGAAAACAGTCAAGACACAGCAATCATAGTCACAGTCTTACTGCTCAATAATTACAACATTGCTTAGAAATAAGCTTTTATTAAGTAGATTAATGGAGTTAGGAACTATTGAATTTGCAGAACAAGTTCCACAACCAGTGCTAATTATATAACACTATTCAGTGATTACTGATTGTTTTTGTTATTTAACATTTAGAATGCTCACCCTAAAATACATCATCTTTCTAGTCCCAGTGAGTTTTCATTTACTTGGTTCTGTGATTCTATCAGAAGTTCCATTATAAAAGGAGAGTTACCATGTTGCTGGTCAACTGGAAGGTCCACCTTTGGTTCTAAAGCTTTAGAACAGTTCGAATGCTTAAAATGCAAAAAGAAAAGGAAAAGAGAGTTACCAGTAAGTCCGCTCTTTCCCTTTTCTTCCCTCCCTTTCATTGCTGAGACATACTTTAACTTAACTTTGTCTCTTTCAAGAATGAAGTTATGCTTATGCCTATAATATTTAATAAAAATCCTGGTTAAAAATGGGTTGGTAATGCTTGTTATCTTTGGGTTTGTTTTTTTTTTTATAGTCTCTTCCCCCAGTAAGATGCACTCAAAGTGGAAGCTTTTTCAAAGTATGAGTGTCAGTTTTCAGGAACATTAATATTTACAGGCATTCCCTCTTCTGGCTGCTTGGAGAATTTTAAATAACTTCCATTATTAGTTTCATAGGACATGCTCAGGTAGGAAATAAAAGCAGTTTGTAACTGGCAAAGGGGATCAACTCTTGGGTGAAATTTGCACAGATGCAGTGTTTCCAATTGTAAAAAGTACAAATGCAGTTACTGTTAACTGACATTCAAAATAGAAATACATTGAGGTAAAGAACATAGTTACTATTTCAGCAGCATATTAACAGATCATTCCAAGTGATTGACTGTGCTGGTAATCTATCCCAAGTAGTTTGAAATACACTGAAATCTACTATTTAACTAAAATAGATAATACCTTAATGACTTGTACAAATGTATGAATGTGAACTCCCCTTCAGTCTCCTGAGGAAGAATATTTTAGCAGTGTTGGAAGCCCAAGACAGACTTGTCCCCATCATCAGCTTTACATTCCTGTGTAATTCCCTTATAAATTGTTGCTTCCTTTTTACTCTATGCTTGTGTTTTGCACATGCCTAAAAGCTCAGAGAAAGTGTATTTATCTCTGAATGAATGTGTGTGGTATATGTCAGCCTTTATCCTCCCTGTTTAAAACAGGATACTGAGCGGGGAACCTGTATTTTGACAGTGTCTCATCAAGAAATGTCTTCTGCACCTTTCAGTATTAGGAACATTACCTCTTTCCTGCATGCATC